GGATTTTCTTTTTATATATGCTTATACTAGGTGGTGTAGCAGCCAATATACTTCTTAAAAGTATTGGTGAGATAGCAAAGAGTATCTCAGAACACAGTCGTATGAGCAAAGCGAGATTTTACCATAGTCAGTAACAACACTTGAACAATACTGATGTGTAAGTTACATGCTTTTACTGAAACAACACCCTTCACAATGCAAGTGACATCCCTGCTGTGGCCACTCCATACTGATTGGCTCGTGCTGAGCAGGGGAGTCCTGTTCTGACTCTGAACACGCCGATAGCTTGTTTTTAGTGTGAAAAACACTAAAATCACATACAAACACATGTCAAATACCTTCCTTCTTCCCTATCAAAAATGTACACAATCCAGCATTGCATTTTACTCACATTCTGCTCCACCAAGCTTCTAATCTAGGCTACAGAGCAGAAATACAGCCGGCATGGGATTCAAAAGATTTGGATTCCAACCCCCACCTCTGCTGCTAATTAGCTAAGTGAATTTGAGCAAATCTTGTAATTCTCTGGGTTTCAGTTTTCTCATCTTTAAAGAAAATAAGTTGGGCTTCTTGCTCTAGAATATTTCTCTGTTTGAATCTCTCCCTGTCTCCTGGGATGAATTAGATTCATCTCCACTGTGCCCCTTGTTGCCCTGAGGGGAGCCCTCTCATAGCACTTGTCTGGCTCTGTTATGGTTTATTCATCTGAATCTCACGAGGTTGCAGGCTCCTGAGGAGCAAGCCCTTGCCCTTTTACCTCCATTACCCCATAGTTCCCTCGTAGGGGCGTGATGGGTATCTGCTGAATATATACCGAGCCAGCCAATACTTTCTGTGCTATACTCTATCAAAGTGTCTCACCAGAAGAGGTACAGAAAATAACAAATAAAAGTCCTCACTCATCCTATTTAAGCAGTCAATATGGAGGAAAATATGTCCTTGCCGTCTTGAAAGTGAAGAAAACACTGAGAAATCAAATAAAGAAAAATTCCCAGCCATATTCAATGTTGCTGGAAGTGCTAATGCAGCATTTATTTTAGGTTTCAAGGAAATGGAATATTCCTGACAGCTTTATGGACAAATATACCCACCAATTTTTAAATACTTCATTCTTCTATACTCATAAAACATAATATCAGTAGGTTTCAGAATCTTTTATGGGGAAAATGTTACAGTGAAGTTGCCATGATATCTGCAGATTTGAGGACCTCAAGAAGACAGATTTCTCATCAACCTTTTAATGGTCCTTAGTGGTCCTTAAGACCACCCCCAGGCTGGATGACACGCTAAGAGGACCCACAGAATGTAGCATATAGTCATGGTTTTGACTTACCACAGCATGGAGATACAAAGCACACTTAGCAAAGGCAAGCGGTGCATAGGCGAAGTCCAGGGAAAGCTAGCACAAGTCTCCAACATCCTCTCCCTAATTCCTCAGCAAAGTTGTGACAACACCTATGAGAGTTGCCACCAGAGACGATCACTGAGAACAGGGTGGCCGGCTTTTTTATGGGAGGTTGGTCAAATAGGTATCGTCTGCCTGGCACATACCAAATTCCAGACGCCTGGAAGTAAGGTCAATGTTCAGCATAAACCACACTGTTCAAATAAATAGTGTGGGCCAGTGAGCCACTCCTGTCACTGTCGGGAACCCTCCTGAAATTCAAGTTCCCAGAAGCCAGCCCCAGGGCCACCTCATAAGCAGGTGTGTCCAAGCACAGCAGTCACGCCCACTGTGTTGCTCCTGTGGACAGATGGTAAACATCACTGTGTAACAACTACGCAGAATGTGCAGAAATGCAGAGGTTACTTTAAAAGTCTGATTAGAATCCTTTAAAATTGAGACATCCCCAGTGCTGGGTGTGCCGCTTGCCTTCTCAGACCCAGACATGAGGGCTGGTTCTCAAGTTCAGAAACACGGTTTTGGCATTCCGAGAAAAGGTATCGTACGTGGGTTAAACTGCAAGAAATATATTCCTGCCGCTGAAGCCTTTGTTCCGGCAGGCTGGCTGAGACAGCCATGTCCACACCGCAGGGCCGGGTGGAGCAGAGACACAGCTTGTACAGCCCTCGGCCCTACAATAGCAAGTTTCTGGTCGTAGACAGAAAAAGTTTGCCAATCCCTGCTCTACTTTTTGGATGAAATGACCAGTTTTAGTTCTAGAATTTTATATAAAGGGGCTTAAGGATGTTTAGTGAGAGCTATATTTGCATAACAAAAATCTGTTTTTCCCTAGTGGGGATGAGGGCAAACAGCTAAAGGGCTGTGACTTTCCTCCCTGTGGCAGCCACTGAGAACTACACACTATACCAACCACTCATGTTGCCACGGATCTGCCCGTGTGGCCAGAGCTGTAATCTCTGATGATGGCTCAAAATCAGGGTTCCAAATCTGATCCTGCACCTTATTGGGAGCACACCCTTAATTATGGTTATTACAGCTATGAGATATCAGCAGCACACTAAAGACATCGTTGTCATTATACCATCCACAACCAATGTCTATTGCAAGAATGCTTACAATAATAGCAATAAGAACCAATAATTTTTTATTAATAGCTCATGTGGGAATGAAGTTGATGTGATTGAGTGAATTAGAAACTGTAAATTGCTGACAGTGTTTGTGGGATATTGTTGTGGGGGGAGGGTGTTAATTGCTTGGACAGGCCAAAGCTTGGTATAGGTGACAGAATAAGGGTTTTAGAATCAGACGGGGATGGATTCAAATCCAGGCCCTGACCCATAATTTATCTGGCAACTAGCTGTCCCAATCTCAGAACTAAGCCTCCTCGTCGATGAAATAGAGATTACACAGGGGGTTGTTGTCTGTGGGTGGTTGACATTTAATAAGATTAGTTATAACATACAAAATATGTTGAAGTGCATAGCTGTAAAAGAGGCTCTCAATACGATAGCTATTCTCATGAATCACTGGAGTGTATTTTCTCAGGTCCCCTTAAAAAAACTATGTGCATGTTGTCTCTAGTTTCTCTTGCTATCAGAGGTAGCCATGCTAGTATGTGCACTCAACTCTTACAACGTGTGTGTGTGTGTGTGTGTGTATGTGTGAATGTGTGTGTGAATGTGTGTGATGTGCACGTGCTCAGATGTATAAGAGAGAAAAAGAGGCCATAGAGCTGTGTGATTAATTCACTTTGAAGAACCAACATTTATTTTCTACTGGTGAGTTCTTAATCATCTGTCTTTGAGACCTTGCATTGCAAATATATCAGTTGATAATTCGATTTTAATCCCTCTGGGTATGAGTTTCCTTGTGTGTTTTGAAAAGGAACTAACTGCTCCTTTTTCACAGGAATAGTATAAACATGAGAGGAGATTCTGTGTAAACAATATGCTCTGAGGAGAACAGTGACAAATAAGATCCGCACTGAGTACTGGAACAGCACGGACGGGTTTTGGTGATCTTGCAATAAGTGAAAAGACCCCCAAACTGGCAAAATCTAGATTGTAAAAGACTTAGAATATACGGGCTTCAAGTATCTAACAAACTGCCTTGTAGAAAAAGAATTTGTCACTGGAGAAGGTAGAACATAAACCAAAGGAGACATAGTTTTGCTTAATATAAAAAGGGATTCAGAGCTCCCTAGTGGATAAGCAATATTTAGTTTATATTTGGCAGTCTCGTCCACATTCTTCCTACCTTAACTTGCAATTACTCGTATAAATATGTTTCACAAATTCGCGTTTCACATAATCTTCACACTTGACATAGCACTGTGTTTAGTCTTTATACTCTCGACAGCTCTTTACATTTTGCCTTGCAAGGCTATGGATGTTCAATCACTTTTGTTAACAAAAATGTAGACTGAAAATGCTATTCAAATACAGAACAAATATTGTGGCACAGCTGGTACAAATGTGACTCCTGCAGGCTTACCCTCCTTTAGAACCCTGAGGAGGGAATTACTTCATTTGCTTATGGTCATTTCTCTGTTCCTAGAGTAGAGATGTTAATTTCTCTCTTGGCTTGATTTTTTTTTCTTCCATGTAAACTACAGAGAAAGTTCTGGTTAATGGGGTAGTAGATGGGAAGGCTTGTTGTTTCAAAATACTTTACCATAGTAGACAGGCAATCATTTTACATGAAATTCCTTCTGTGCAGTTATCCAAATGTGTATTTCATTCTTGGCAATAAGAGAGCCCTACCCAATGTCCAAGGATCTATAAATCAGAGATGGGAGATTTCTTTATGCAAATTAAATCTGTGTCACATCATCAATAAAAAAGAAAATGGCAAGGAAGATGATGTTTGTAGCACCAATGCAAAGTGAAGGATTGCTATACCTATCGTAGGATATGTCAGTGTGGCTAATTGTTTTTTGAGATAGTGTGCTTGGAAAGAATGAATGAGAAATAATCTTTGTAAATTGATTATTAAATGAGAAGGAGGTTTCAAAGTGAATCAGGCCCTGGCTGGGTAGCTCAATTGGTTAGAGCCTTGTCCGGATAACACCAAGGTTGTGGGTTCAATCTCCAGTCAGGGTACATACAAGAATCAACCAATCAATGCATAAATAAGTGGAACAGCAAAGCAATGTTTCTTCCCCTCTCTCCCTCTCTCATCAATTAAAAATACATTTAAAGTGAATCAGGCATATAAACTAGGGAACCAGTTTGATTAACCTTACCAACTTTTAAAAAATGCACATAATAGAGAGACACTAATATTAATTTTATGGCAGGGTTATAAATCCCAAGAACTAATTATATTATAGTACAGCTTGTTTGTTTTTCCTCAAGTCTGCTTTTCATTTTGCATCTTAAATTGTAATGATTCAAATATTTATCCATGTACTCAAGGGCTTTACTCCTTTAAAAGATAAACAAAATATAAAGACAGGGAAAGAAAATTATGTCACTTTACATTACTGGAAATGTACTCCTGAAAAATTAAATGATTTTTCCAATCTTCCACAAACAGAGCACGACACAGTAACCCTCTGGATACTAATTAGGGGAAGTGGATCCAGACAACATACCCGTTTCCTTAGATTGCAAGTAAGAGTGAGATTCCTTGAAAACGAGTTTGCAAAAGCCGTGTAAAAGTCCAGGACTTTGAGCAAGGCTTCTCGCTTGATGATGTGGAGATCACAGTATGTCAGTGCCCGGACATTGGCACACGCATGAGCAAGGGTGGTTTCCTTCCAGAAGATGTCTCCAAATACATCTCCTTTCCCTGGAAAATAGGATAAGATATGTATATGTTCAAGCTTCTACAATAGTTCCTATCCTACCACTAGTTTCATTCCATTTCATTATGGTATTGATCTCCTAGCACAATTCCACGCCTGAGTGTATGACCCCCATCTGTACGCATGTAACAATTCACAACACTTTTATATAACATGTCAAGTATTCACCCTGCATTCAGTTCTTGATGGAAACCTGGAGTGATATGAATAAATGAAATCAGATGGAGAAGCCAAAAACCTCATTTTAACAAATAGTTTCATTATCTTCTGCCACCTTAACTTATCCCATTCTGACCAAAAGGAGCAGAAGAGATTTCTTAGTTTTATCCCTTCCTCTGCTCCTTCTGGCAGAGATGACAGTAAAATGCAATATACAAGATCTACTGTTACAGCCTTTATAAATCTGCAACTGGTTCAACATATATTAAACACACATTATTCAGCAACTAAGTCTTGTGCTCCAGGGCGACTAAAACTCACCATGACTTATTCTCCAAGGAAGCTCCTCCCCCTCCACAAACCTTATGCACACCCTCAGGGCACAGCCTCAGAGCTCCCCATCCACAAGCACAGAGCCCAAGGAGCGGAGTTGGGTAAAACGTAGAGACCCTGATCTGTTATGCCATGACCAGTTCCATAAAGAGTGCCACCGCAGTCAAATGTGGATGTCTTTTTAAAATTCTACAAATCTACCATTAACTTCAGAGTGCATTCCCATTGATGACCTCAGCTCAGCAGTTCACCACCACAGCCAGGAGTGCTTAGTTGCCCTTCCTGTTGAGGCAGCTCTGCAAGAGCCCCTGGCCCATGCAGGTGGGAAAATCTTCCCACACGCAGCCTGCCGAACACTGGCTCTGCACCCTTACCGGGAGCTCAGCAAATACCTGCTCTGTCATGAAGATTAAAGTCAGAACTGACAGGAATGAAAGAAGAAAGACATGTTATAGCACTTCAGGCCAACCAGACCACCAGAGAGAAAGTAACATGTAACCAGAGAAGTGTGTGTGTGTGTGTGTGTGTGTGTGTGTGCGCGCGCGCGCGCGCGCCTATGTGTGAGGGGGGGGGGGGGGGACAAGGGAGGGGAGGGGAGGGGAGGGGAGAAGAGAATGGGAGGGGAGAGAGGAGAAAGGTGGAGTGAGAGAGATTAGATTCTTTGCCCACACAAGCAGTTTGGAAATCCTCAGACAACCACAAGGCACTCTGAGATAGAAAGAGAAAACATGCATATTATCATTAAGGAGATGATTGAAACCACCATGGAATCGTATGGTCAGCATGAAATAATCCTAATGGATATTTAATTAATCTTGAGTGAGCTCATTTGTTTCGGGACCCTCGAAACTTCCTTTTAGTTAGTGTCACTGCCAGCTCAAATGCCTGTGGGAGAGCCAGACATCTGTCTGAGAACCGTTAGAGATTTGGGAGCCAAATAAGGTGTGTAAGGCTGCGGAGCACTGTAATAACCCGAGGGAGCCTTTAGCCATAGAAATGTGAAAGATAAACCCTATCTCCACTTACACAGATGCATTTCAGAAATGGCATTCTCTTTAAATTAGTAATTCCAAGTATATGTATTCATCCTAATTACATCATTAGAAGTACCAATTTACTAATTAAAATGTTTGCTGAACCCGGCCAGTGTGGCTCAGTGGTTGAGAGTCAACCCATGCACCAAGAGGTGGCTGGTTTGATTCCCGGTCAGGGCACATGCCCAGATTGTGGGCCCGATCCCCAGTGGGGGGGCCAATCAATGTTTCTATCTCTTGCTCTCTCTCCCTTCCTCTCTCTCTCTAAAATCAATAATGAAAAAATATATTTTTTAAATGTTCATTGAAGTAATATAATATTCAAAAAGAAATAAGACAAATATAAATGAATAAATTATGGAATATTATGCAGCCACTAAACACATTGAAAACAAGTGATAGAAAAATATTCACGTTATGTAAAATAATAAAAGCAAGATATTAAATCATATACATAGTGTGGCCTCATTTTATGCACCTCGTCCCACCTGCCAGAATCATGCACATGTGCACACAAAGCAAACGCATTAAAATGGTAGGATCTCTCCGCTTTATGGGATAATGAATGGATGCATTGTTTTTTTAACAGAAGAGATCAACAACTTATATTATCATGGTCTGTGGAGCTATGAAAAATAGCAGGGCTTTGAAAGGGCTGCTTTGATCTACCTCTTGTTTCTTTTCATCTATGGTCATTGTTCCTCTTTCTGAGTTGGGTGGTCTTGAAGAGATAGATAAGGGGTTACATTTCTCTCTGTTTCATTTCTTTGACCAGTTCTCAAATTATCACTCATAATACAACCTCTGACCCATTCATAAGGGCTCATTAGTTTTCAACTATTTGATTTTTATGTATAGTGATTATAATAATAATCAATGCCTTGGACTTAGTAATTCTACCTCTGGGAATCAATCAAAAGAATTAGAACCAAGACATGTAATATTCACTGTAGTATTATTAAGCACAATCCCAGATTAGTACAAATAAATATCCAACAACAATGGAAAATTATATATCTACCTATCATCAATTCATACAGAATTAAAACTAGTTTTTAAAATAACATGTAAAAATGCTTACCTTATAATGATAAATTTAAAAATAAAGATACCAAAAAGATATAATTATGGTCACAGATATAATAGAGTACATAAAAATGAAAGCAAAATTACAAGACTAAATAAATTGTTAACAAATTGTCTACCTCCTATTTTCCTTAAATAAAAATAATCTTAATAGAAGCAAAGTATATTGTATTTTATTATTCTGTGTTGTTCTATATAGTATATTATGTTACTATTAATTTGTCAATTGATAATAAATTGTGTTAAAAATCAAAAAGGAAAAAGACTAAAAGAGAATGCATTTAAATAATTACAGCAATTGGCTTCGAATGATGTGTTTATTGTTTTTCTTCTTTCTAATTTATGTGTCCGAATTTTCCTCTAATGAATCTGCTTAATTTGAAAATAGCAAACTATTTTCACAGATGTCTTTTCTTACACTTTTTAATAAAATGAAATTAATAAAATATGTACATCAATCTATGGAATAGTAAATAAATATTCATTGATGATAAGTGTATCATCAACAAGAAGAATATACTCAATATATAAATAAATTTTCCCTTGCTATCTTTAGTGAAAGCATTCAAATGTCTGTTACATATTTTATTTTACGTAACTGATGAAATTAAAATCCTTATCATATTTCTATCAAAAAATTTAAATTTGAATAATTTATATTTTTAGTATCTTGGAGAAATAAAAAGCCTATGATGCAGAAAGAACAAAATTAAACTACAATATAAACTCATGAGAGCAGGGAATTTTATCTGTTTTGACCACTTTCATTAATCTCAATGCCTAGAATGGTTCATGAGCTCAACAAATATTTATTGAAAAAAAAAAAATATATATATATATATATGTAAGAAGGGGAGAGAAAAAAACAAAAACAGAACAAATTGGGAAATACAAGATTAGAGTTAGAACTGAGGCACTGCCATGAAGTGTGGCTTGGATCAGGTCACTGAGCTGTCTGAATCATCATCTGTTCCTTTGCCTCTAAAGGGAACAGGATAGACAGACTAACACTAAAGATTTCTCATCATCTATCATTCTATAGTAAGTCAACTCAAAATCATCAAATTATATTTTCAAGATCATATTTCTTCAGTGTCTCATTGTCAAAAACACACAAAACTTGAAAATCTAGGGCCTCAATTCCAAATCCCATTACAAGGTTGAAAAGTAACAGGAAAGTTAATTGACTCAACTGAAGTAAAACTTATCCCCTATTCTCACCCCTAACAAAAGTTTACAGGGGCATAGCAAACTTAACAAATTTGGATAATTCTGCTCCCTACATCAGAACTGGCATTATATGATAAGCGATACTAAATGTTTTCATAACATAGAATTTCCATTACAATACATAATATATCACTTGGACATTAATTAACCATTTCAAAATGTGTTTATCTAGTTTTCTCTATCACCTGATAGTTACTCATTCACAATTCTTCAAGAATTAGTATGCACATTTACACTGAGTGATCTGCAGAAACCACATGATTGTGGAGGTATGGGATCATTCATGGAACATCCAGTAGAGCAGTACCCTTTTCCTCATTACAAAGATGTTGCACACTTCCAGGGCTGGGAACTCCTGATCATCTTAATGAGTACAGACTATCTGATTTTAGTTTTTGGGTCATTTCTACTGAGTGCAAGTAGTCTTAGCTCTAGACACTTTAGAGCTTGAGAAAACTAACTTTCCCCCAAAACCCTAAAATTAGTAGAAAAGCTCACACTCAACATGAAAGTTGTTGTTTGGTCTATTTATATTTTCTCAGTTCTTTTCATTAAGTCTTATGAAGTGTTTAACTTCTAAACCACAGAAAACAGGATTGTAAAATAGAAGCAAATGTGAAAGATTTCTAAAATAGGAAATTGGGGATTATGGTCTCCTGAGGTGCTGGTTTTACAGTCAGAGTGTCTTTAAAAATGTGGAACACATTATTTGGTGAGTTAATGACATGGATAAAATAAATGCATAAAAATTATCTCAGTTATTTATCATTGGGTACAGCATTTGTTGGTATTGCCAACAAATCAAATCTCTAAAAATACAGCATTTGAAGTTTACTTAGATGTTTTCCTGTGAGTGTATGTGGGATATAGTAATAGTTCTATTTTGATCATTACTCTCTTGAATGGACTTAATCCATTTAATTTATTAGGCAGCCCTTCACTATAACTGATTATTGCAGTAGACTCATAAACATTATTATGAACACACGTGCACAAAATATATTCATTTATAAATGAACAACACTATGAGTTTTTAAATTATATGATTTTAAGAGGTCTGAGTATTTATAACCAGCAAGTGTCATAAAGTAATATTTTCAAGGAAAAGAACAGAAATAACAAGATGAGTATTAAAATTTAAA